AGAGCTTTCGATGCTACTGAAAGACGTGTGGCACACTTGCCATAGGTTTGCCACCACTGCTTACTTTGGGGCCTTGAAAGAAAGTGGAATCAGGGCTTTCGATTGCCCCAATTTTGTGACTGTCCCATTTAGAACATGTCAATTCCATGGGTTTTTAATGAAACCTGATTATGAGACAGTTAACCTGTATATAATAATGCACAGCCAGATCCCCATGCCTGATTAGGAGTCCATTACTTTGTATGCAACATAGTTAAGCTGATATAATAAGCTACTATGCCAAGACTGTTGGTTTCAAGGTAAAAAGTGTCTACATATTTGAAAGAGCATTGCATAACTGAATATGAAAAAGACATCTGCTTAGAACTCTTGGGCCAATAATGTTAACTGTTTTTTTATTTGGCAAATATATACATGAAATAGTATATTGGGAGCAAATATTTCCTATGGAGAAACATATGATAAGAGCACACTTAGAATGGGAACCCAGCCTTCATGTGGGGTGAATTGCTGGGCTGACCCCATGTCTCCATCAGAGACCGTAAAGCAAGGAAAACTGCAAGAATTTGGAGTTCTGGAGCCCATATTTTGCTGGTGGAAGCATTGCATATAATCAACTTGTCTTAAGAATTAGACTAACCTAGAGCCTCTTGAGTACATTTGAGTGTTAGAAATGAGCTGCAAATCTTCAGATTCCAGAAATAAAGCACGAGTAAAGGTTTGAAGGGAGGGGAAGGGAGTCAGAAAAAAAAAAAAAAGAAAGAAATTAAGGCATATTATATACAATGACAAATTCTCCATGATGAATGTGAACATTATATATGGCAAATATGTACCAGTAAAATATTAATTGTCCATTAAAGCCCTTGTTTTAATCACTCTCCTCTAATGGCAGCTTTGAGACCTGGCAGAGAAAGACCATTATGGATTTAGAGCTGAACACCTGCTACATGCTTGGCTCTTCACTGGAGACTGAGAAGATACCAGCAAGCAAAACATGGCTCCCTTTCTCAAAGGGTTCATGGTCAGCTGGGAAAGATCAGCAAGGAAAGGGCACTGCTGATCATAATGGTAAACATCAATGCTTTTTTTCCCCTTCTTCTTTTTTTTGGTACCGGGGATCGAACTTGGGTCCTTGAGCTTGCTAGGCAAGCGGTGGCACCACTGAGCTAAATCCCTGGCCCTCTTGATACAGAACCACGAGGGGATTTTACTTAAGTATAAAGAGATTGATTACAAGGAATTGGTTCACATATGAAAACAGGCAAGCCTCCAGATCTACAGGGTGGGTAGGTAAGTTGGAGTCCCAAGAGAGTGGTAGATTAGTTCCAGTCCACGAGCCAGAAGGTCAGAGACCCCGGGGAAAGTAAAAGCTTCAGATTAACTTCAGAAATAGGAATAGAACTGTTAGCCAAGTTCAAAGACTGTTAGAAGGATGAGTTCTCTTTAATTCACAGGAAGTTTGGTCTTTCAGCACTGTTTCAGGCCTTCAGTTGATTTGATGAGACCCATCCACTTTAGGGAGGACAGCCTGCTTTACTGAGTCCTCTGCTGTCATCCAGAAATGACAGCGGATGCACCCAGGATAAGGTCTGACCAAATGTCTGGGCACCCTCTGGCCCAGTCTTGTTGGACACGTACAATTTAGCCTCTACAGTCATACTGTGCCACAAGTACAGTGCCTTACAGGAGCATACAAGGGAAGCCTAAATGAGTGGGACTTTGCTGATGAGAAATGATGCTCAAGGCTTTGTGTGGACACCATACCCAGCAGTTCTAAGTGGCATGTAGGAATCCCTGCATAGATGTGTCTCCATTCTTCCCCCCGCTGGCTGAAGTTTGGTCTTTCAGCACTGTTTCAGGCCTTCAGTTGATTTGATGAGACCCATCCACTTTAGGGAGGACAGCCTGCTTTACTGAGTCCTCTGCTGTCATCCAGAAATGACAGCGGATGCACCCAGGATAAGGTCTGACCAAATGTCTGGGCACCCTCTGGCCCAGTCTTGTTGGACACGTACAATTTAGCCTCTACAGTCATACTGTGCCACAAGTACAGTGCCTTACAGGAGCATACAAGGGAAGCCTAAATGAGTGGGACTTTGCTGATGAGAAATGATGCTCAAGGCTTTGTGTGGACACCATACCCAGCAGTTCTAAGTGGCATGTAGGAATCCCTGCATAGATGTGTCTCCATTCTTCCCCCCACTGGCGGTACTGGGGATCGAACTCAGGACCTTGTGCTTGCAAGGCAGGCGCAGCACCACTGAGCTAAATCCCAGCCCTATGAATTCTTAACCATCAATTCTTGTGTGAGAGAACTCACGCATCTGCCACTGAGCGTTCCCAGGGCAGGGCTAAACTGTTGGACGGAAGAGGGCTGGGCCAGGTGAGAGCTTGATGTGCAGCAGTTACTACTGCTGCAGGTCAGAGGTGAGAGGTGGACCGTGGCCAAGGCCTCTCCAAAGAGAGGACCCTGTACCCTGGGTTGTGAGCACTCGAGAGGCAGCTCAGGCCTGGGCTTTATTGTGGTGAGGCTAGAGTTGCAAAGCTTGTTGGCTGGTTTTGTACTTTTTATCTTGCAGTACCTTCACAAGTATCACCAAACATTTTGGGATTTTAAAGAAGGGTGTGATTGCCAAAAGATGAGAGTTGCTGTATAATCTAAATCAGAGAAGAAAATCTGTCGTTTTCTGCATCAGTAACAACAGCCGGTCCAGTCAGAGCCTGTTACGCACACCTTCCTCGCTTTCAGAGGGTAAAAGCTGCCCCAGTGAAAGAATTAGGGAAAACTTTTCCTTTTGCCATAAACTACAAAGCAATTTATCTGCCCACTTTTTGAAAAATTGTTTTCATTATGAAAGTTTGACTTCACTGCTACTTTCTGAAGGAAAGGCTGAGGAGAATTAACAATGTCTTTGGCACTGCAGGCCACAAATCATCCACAAATGCTTTCAAGGCAGGAGCTCTTCTTGCCAACACAGCTAATGGCCCTTCCTGGGGAGGAAGAAGGTGATTTCTTGCTGGTCAGGTTTGCTTACTTGTCCTACATTTATTGCCCTCAAGTGTGGTGTTTAGCAGGCACCTCACAGGCTGCAGTGCTCGGAAGATGCCACACTTGGGGAGTCTGAACTTGAAAAAGCACCACTCTCAACTAAGCCAGTGCCCCGTGCGCCCTCGCGGGCTTCTGCTTCAGCTCAGGCAGGCTGTCTAGTCTGAACGAGGACTTGGGGGTGACGCTCGGGGCCCTGGAAAGCCAGTGAGTGAATGTGCTCTCAGAGAATCAGAGGAGCAGTTTAGAGACGCAAAGGACCTTAGCAAACAGCACTTCTCTCTCTGGATGCTCTTAAAGGACTTAAGTAATCTTTACCCAATCCAAGTTCATAGTAATTCACTCTCCTTGAGTCAGCCTTGCCCAGCCTAGGCCTACATCTAGCTGTCCCCACAGGAGAAAGTGCAGACATGTCCTCTTTTGACTGATAGGGCTTTCTATCCATTCTCAGTTTGATTTTCACTATTAGCCTATGAATACTTAATCTTTTCCTTGTGATGGAGGAATAATTTTTCCCTGCCATAGTTCACTCTTTTATTCCTTCCCATCCTCTCCCATTTACAGACCACGATCATTGAAAAGGCAACAGGAAGAGCATTTCTTATGTTGGTTTCCTTGAGCTAGAGACACGGGGGAGGGAAAGAACAGAAATGTTTGAGGATTCAAGTGAAAAAAGAAATGTTCTCTTGCATAATCTTCTGTACCTGCCAGGAAGAGGATGGGCAGCAAGGACAGCCTTTGGAGGGTGTTGGAGAACTGGGCTGTGGAAGGTTATATTCTCTGCAGATGGTCACAGCAATGTCTCCCATGTCATGTGCCCTTCTTCTTCTTCTCCTTTTTTTTAAAATTAACTTTACTGGTACATTTAAAGCATACAATAGTGACACTCATCATGGAAATTTGCACCTTTTCATAATCCATCTTGGCTCTAATTTTTCCCCATACCCCTGCCCTCCCTTCAACCCCTCCACCCCTCCCTATCTACAAAGACTGTTTCCATTTTATAATCCATCTTGGCTCTAATTTTTCCCCATACCCCTGCCCTCCCTTCAACCCCTCCACCCCTCCCTATCTACAAAGACTTTGTTTCCATTTCATGTGCTCTTCTTAGAATGTGAATGTGACACTCTGCCCAAAAGCAATTTGGCCCAGGTCTCATAGAGGAGCCCTGCTGAGGTCCCAGCTTTCTGCTGCCCTCACCAATCACACACGGGAGTGAAGAAGCCTCTGATGGTGACAGCTCCCAGCTGTCAAGTCGAGCCCACCTGAGATCTCAGGTATATAGCAGAAAAAGGCAAGGTGTCTGTATGTGCTCTTTGCAAATTCCTGGCTATATTACTGTATTTTTATCACTATAACAAAATACCTGAGGCTGGGAGACTTTTTGGTAAAGAAAAGGGGCTTATTCAGTTCACAGCGAGAGGCCAAAAGTTCAAAATTGGGCAGCCTCAGGTTCAGCCTCTGGTGAGGGCCTAACAGTAGACAGCATCAGGGTGTGAGGAAGAGGTCATGTCTCTAGGCAAGAAGCAGAGAGCAATTTGGGTCCAGATCACTCACCTGAGAACTAACTTAGGGCCATGAGAACTACTTCAGTCCCTTTCAAGGACTCAGCCTGGGTTACCTAAGGACCTCCCACTAGGCCTTACCTCTTAACGTCACTACATGGGGAGCAAGCTTCCAACAGCAGAACCTTTCGGGGATATACCACACCTAAATCACAGCCAGGACCCACAGATTCCATGAGCATAATAAAAGGATTGCTTTAATGTATCCTATGGTCCAAATATGCCACCCTCTCCATTCATATATTGAAACTTAGTATCACGGTCATAGAATTAAGATGTCAGAGCTGGGTGTGGTGGCGCACTCCTGTAATCCCAGCACTCGGGAGGCTGAGGCAGGAGGATCGCTGTGAGTTCGAGACCAGCCTGGGCTACATAGTGAGCTCCAGGTCAGTCTCAACTACACAGTAAGATCCTGTATCAAACAAAACAAGAAAAGATGTCAGCCTGATGGCAGAGCCTTCGTGAATAGGATTTGTTACCTCATAGAAGGGCTGGAGGAACTACCTAGGCCCTCATGCCTTGTTCCATTTTACTACTGAAGACACAGCAACAAGGTGCCATCTTGAATCAGGGAACAGCCCTTACCAGCTGCCGAATCTCCTGGCGCCACCATCCTGAACTTCCCAGTTTCCAGACTGTGAGAGATAAATTTCTGTTATTTACAAATCAGTCTATGGTATTTTGCTATAGTAGCACAGATGGACTAAGAAAAGGCATTGAGTGCTGTTAACTAGAAAGTCAGTGTGGCTTCAGTTGGAAGTGAAGTCATCGAGGATTACCTGGGACGTCCTCACCATGCAGTAACGCGGGGGATAGCGATGCAAAATGTCACATCCGGTTGCTAAGAGGAACATCCGGTTGCTAAGAGGAGCTCTACTGGGTGTGGCAGGACAATCAGTTCCTGTAAGGCAGGTTGAACCTGCATGAAGCTGATTGGTTAACACTGGGTTACTGTCTTTGTAGGGGAAAAGCAGAGGGAACTGATTTATGCTCTTCTGTCCTTGTTGGGGCTGGCGTTGAGCACAATCCCTCCTCTCACCACCCACAAGAGCCTGTGCCGTGGTCCTCATGCCAACCACCACGGCCCCCCTCAAATAGTCTGCCTCCACCCTCCATGTTTGAGAAATCTCATAAATAATTTTTTCTTTAACGAATCAAATAATGTAATATTCTTTCAGGAAACTATTACAGCTAAAATGTCACTGATTTTGCCGGCTCTTATAATTAAAATCTAGCCTCATTCTGGGGGAAGATGATGAGTTTTAGTGTTTTCGATGAGGGATGCAGTGTGTGAACCGATAAACGTGGAGGGTGGTGACGCCAACGCACATGGGCATCGCTGCCTGCTTTCCTGAGGGCGCGGCCACCAACCACTGCTCTTAACAAGAAACAGACTCAGGGCAGCACTTCTGGGTCAAAGGTCCAGCTCTGGACCTCCCTGCTGGGAGGGAGTGGAAGAAAGCGGGCACGGAGAAGGGAGAAGAGGGAATGGAGAGGGGTCTTGCCGAGCTGCTGGTTGTCTCCCAGATCAGTCACACTAGCCGTGCTGCAAGGGGCACGCTGTGGTTTGGCTACGCTTTGAGGGTCCTCAGGGCATAACGTGTGGAAATGTAATCCCCTGGTGGAGGTTTTAAGAGGGTGGGATTTAACCTGAGTATGGTGTTTAAAGGTGGGACCTTTGGAAGGGAATTAAGATTAGCTAAGGTCAGCCAGGTGGGGCTCCCATGACCGAGTGTGGAGGCTTTGTAAGAGGGACAGAGACCTGAATTCCCTCCGTTCCTCCCTCTCTCTCTCTCTCTCTCTCTCTCTCTCCCTCCCCCCCACTTTCTCGTGCCCCTATCTCTTACTGTGGGATGCCCTAAGCCACCTTGGTACTCTGCCAGCAAGAGAGCTCACATGAGCTGAATCACAGCCTTGAATCTTCAGAATCACAAGTCACAGTGAATCTCTTTTCTTTATGGTTTACATAGACCATGTTTTCATGCTATTGGCAACAGAAGATGACCGACTGAAATGCGGGGCAAGAACAGAAACGTTGGGGATGGCAAAACTCTGTCCTACTGCAAGTGGAGTCTAAAAACTTCACTTGTCTTAATGCTGCATCAGTAAAATCCCTTTCCCATCTGTACTGACACACACAAGGAAGGGGAAAGAATTTAAAGTCCCCAATGGTTGAGGTCATCTCCTCCTAAAGTCTCCTGGCCCATCCCAGAACCTTCCTCCTCTTTTCCTGCCCCCAAAGAGAGGAACAGGATCCCCACCCTCTGAGGACAGGACTGTGTGGAGGATGCGAGCTTTTCTCCCTGTGGCTCATTTGTGTCTTATACTGGTTGGTGGGCTGGGGAGTGCTATTGGGACAGCATACAGTGTGCACAGGGATGAACCGGGTGGGTTGTGGTCTCCCTGTTGCTACTTTCTTTGCTGTGCCACAGCCCGCTAAAGCCCCAGAGCCTTTCTGGGGGTGGCATTATAGTTCTTTTCTTGCTTGGCAACCTTCCTCCCTCCAACCTTCTGCACTCATGTTTGTCATACTCATTCATTCATTAATTCATTCCCGTACGTTGCTGTCCTGAGCCAGGCAGGTGCTAGGAGCTACGGATGCAGACTCAAACACTGACTGCCTCTGCCCAGCTCTCTGAGAATTAGCCATCTGTAAATATGCAAGTGTAAGTGTGTACTGAACGTTTATCATGTGCTAAATTCTGCTACAGACATTTTATATGTAATAACTCAACGCAGTGTCACAGCAACCCTGCAAACAAACAATAGTATCATCTCCATTTGATGCATGCGCAGCCAAAGCCCAGAGAGGAGGAACTCGCCTATATCACACAGCTGCTAAGTAAAGGAAGCAGGATTCAAACCCAAAGTTTTGGATTTTGACGTAGCTCTTAACCACTCCGCCCAAATGTTTTTTGGCAAATCCTAGGGCAAGGCAGGGCTGCTTTGGGTCTCGAGGAATGGAATGTGACAAAACTTTGGGAAAGGACTTCCCCTGAAGTCTTTTGAAACATCACACAGAATGGCCACACAACTTAATGAGTGTGAAAGGGGTGGAGGGAGCCCTAGGTGCCAAGGGAGGGCTGTGGTGCCCTTGTGCAGCTGGAGGTTCAGGGCCTGGACGGCCCAGGGGGCTGAGAACATTGTGAGACTGACCTGGGGATCTGAGAGATCCCTGGGCTCCTCTGAAGGAAGGCAGAAGGGGGAGTGGAGAGGTAGAAAGAACAATAGATACAATGCCTCTGTTGTTTATTTGGCCTTAAATTTCCGGACTCAGAGGGGAACAGAGCGGATGCCCGGCATTTCCAGTTTCGCCGCAGGGAAGGTTTCTTCAGAGACCTGGGCACAGGCGCTGAGCTAAATTTCCCTCACAGTGATAGGAAAAGGACCTTCACGTGAAGGTGAAAAGTGGCGTGGAAGCAAATGTGCTTCTCTTCAGCTCAAACCCTGCAATGTATACATGGGGAAAACAAGTCCAAGAGATGCTGGCTGACTTTCACCCAGAACATCTGAAAGCCAACACAAGAGCTCGCATCTCTTGCTTGTGTTCTTTTGTCTGCAACATCTACTACACATCATGGACCGTAAGGCCCTGAGGGTGGAATTATGCCTCATCTTCCTGAGCACTAACACATGCCTCTTATGTAACAGGTCTCAGGGAATGTGAATTAAATGAGTGCATGGTCTGCAGTTGTTTGTTTGAGACCTGCAGTTGGAAAGTCCAGGCCTGCCTGGCTGCATGTTGTGGCCTGAAGTCCCCTGCCTGCTCCCAGCAGGTGTATAGCAGGCAGGTTGAGAGCACAGACTTTCCTGGCTGGACCTGCAGCCCTCGAAAGACTTCACTCCCAGAAAGTTCTGGCTGAGCAATTCACCCTGCATTTCCAGGAAAATGCTTCATGAAAGAAAGTGCTTTTAATTTCTGAGCTTGGCTTAATTTGTTGCTCATTTATTGTTTAGAGGTGATAATCCAATTTCAGGGCTTCATTGAAGTTCTTTCTTTCTTTCAGTGGTCTGCCATTCAAATGCTTCTCTGTCCGGTTGCTGTGATGGATTCTCTGTAACCTTAAAAAACCACTGTCTCACGGGCAGGTCTTAGCTGGGATCCCTGAGAGAGAGGCTTTATTCACTTCCACAGAAGTGTCTTTTTCCTTCCCTCCCCTGTCTAGTGCTGTGTTGCCATGAAGTACAGTTTTGTGGCTCAGAGTTGGTTTTAGTTTTTTATTTAGCAGTAGCAGTCAGTGCTAGAAGGAGGAGCTGGTGGCTTGATCCACACGACTCACCTACCGTGCCCCATCTGACTACTGGTAAGGCCCTGCTCGCTGAGCTTCCCCCGTGGGACACTCCTCTGGTCAGCCGCTCTCCAGAGGAGTCAGGAAAGCATAATTAGAGTATTTGCTTTTGCTGACCCTGGTGGCTGGGCAGTCATGTTAGACCCACCCATTGAGGCCTGATAAAATGCCCACGCCTAGGCCCCAACCCCAGGACTCCGGTTCAACTCAGGGGCTGTACCAGTGTTTCCAAGAGCTCCTCAGGGGATCCCCAAGTGCAGCCAGGCTAAGAATCTGAGAATCAGGAACCAGATTAAAAGTAGGCTGAATGATGTGTTGTCTCACAAGATTGGATAAGACACCTCCTTAAGTTTCTCCCAGCCTGGAGTATTGGTAGCTTAGTGCCTAATGCTGGTTTGAGCTCAGAAAACTCAGTAGGGAGAAGGGGATTTAATCTATAGAACTATTAACAGGCTTTTAGCCAATTGCTTATTAAAAAAAAAAAAAAGGTGAAAGGCAGGAGTTTAAGCTATTATTTTGGAAAAAAATGCGGGAGATTAAAAACAGCTCTGCTTTGGGACATGAGCAGTAATAAATGATATTATAAGGCTGTCATTAACTTCATTGGCTACTAAGAATAGGATAGAAGTCAGAGGGCCTGGCCTCAGTTCTTTCTTGCTTGCAATATGGCTTTCTGCACAATCGCGCCACTCTTTGGGAGATGGCCTCATATCTAGCCTCTAGGTTTGTCCTGAGTACCCAGAGATGTGGCAACTAGGTTGTACAACCTTTAGGCCAGGGGAAAGGGGTTTGCTCAAGCCCTTGAGATTTGGAAAGCCTATCTCTGCCCCCTAGCATGGGCCAGGAACCCATAATAACAAGATGTCAGAGCCCATAGCCCATTGTTTTCGGAGTCAAGAACCAGGTCTCCAGGAATCAGGTCTCCAGGACCCAAATTCCCACCCACATGCCCTGGCCCATCCCTGAGTCCTGGGTGGGCCTCTTCACACTGGTATTTGTGCTCTGAATGTAAGGATTGGCCATGGGTAGCCAATTGCAGGTGTATGCACCTGTAGGCTGTGGTGTCTTGGGTGAAACACAGAGAGAGAGAGAGAGAGAGAGAGAGAGAGAGAGAGAGAGAGAGAGAGGAAAGGGACACCTCACAGACCACCATTCAGGCAAACACTGGGATTCATTTAAATTTGGCCCTTCCGAATCATGTTAAAACCTATTTGTTAGATAGAATATATCTTGCTTAGTGATTTGCTAGCTTGATTTATGCCTTCTAGGGTTATAGGTACCATATCTGACCTTCTGTCCTGCCCCTGTGGCCAATGTCATGGGACATCCAGGGAGGGTGAGAGTGCAGTGCTCAGAGACACACATGCTGTGTCATAGAACGGAGAGCCCAGCCTTTCTCCAAGAAGATCTTTTGCACTGCTGCTCTGCCTTCCGAAGAACACATCTGCAGAGAGCAGGGGTGGCGAAGCTATGGCGTGCACTTCGCAGCCGGTCTTTGTTGTCTTGGAAAGCTCTCA